TCAAGCTCTGGGGCTACTAGGAGGAGGAGGAGGACTGCTGGAAGGTTAGAAAACAAATGACAAACAAATGTGCTAAAATCTTTGTATTGCATTCCTATTGAAGTCTGTGGAAGACAAATGCACGCCCAAGCTCTGACCACCGCCTGAGGTCTGTAGGTACGTAATGCATGCAATGGAAAAAAGTCACCGGACTGGACTCCATCCGATATTATGAAAAGTGTTATAGCAGACCTCCTGACTCTCCACTGGGCTTCATTGAGATGCCGTCAGTCATCTTGACGCATGGACACTGGGCTTCATTGAGCTGCTGTCAGTCATCTTGACGCATGGACACTGGGCTTCATTGAGCTGCTGTCAGTCATCTTGACGCATGGACACTGGGCTTCATTGAGCTGCTGTCAGTCATCTTGACGCATGGACACTGGGCTTCATTAAGCTGCTGTCAGTCATCTTGACGCATGGACACTGGGCTTCATTGAGCTGCTGTCAGTCATCTTGACGCATAGACACTGGGCTTCATTGAGCTGCTGTCAGTCATCTTGACGCATGGACATTAAATCACTCAGGTTGCCCGGAGGCCGAGGCCTGCTCTGCGTATTCTCAGCTCTCCCAGAATTGGTACTCGGGTATATTTTGAGATCTTGCAGCTCCTTTGTTGCATTCTGCACACAGGTCATCATTTACAACAATGTGAGGTCTTGCACCAAGCAGCGACTGTTACAAACCAATCAGAATTCAGCTTCCATCAGCCAGGATGGTGATTGATGGCTGTCGATTGGTTGGTGTGGGTTACCACCTTACACATGACTCTGACCAGTCCCGAGGAGTCCTCTCTTCGTGGCTTGTCGGCTGCGGAGTTTTTCGGAGTTGGGCAGCAGGTTTCTAATTGCAGCGAAAGGTCATTCCAGTCTGCATTTCAGAAGAGTGGTCTCCGCGCTGGTTTAGTTTGAAAGGCGAAATGTCCGATTGTGAAACCCATTCGGCTTTTCTGTTACTTGACAATAAGACAGCGCTGCACACTGCATGCCGGGTTATTTGTCTCTGCTGGAGAGAGGAAGCCAGGAATGAACAATGGTAGCA